GATTAAGAGCTCTGGAAAAAGGAGACTTCTAGTAACATGAACAAAACAGACCATAAATAGAATAAATGAAGAAAACGTAAATTTATATCTTCTTTGAGGAAGGATACTTTGAAACTTTTACTTCCAGTAAATTGTAGAAATTGCCATTGAATAATGATAAATGAAATAAAGAAATCGATTTAGTTAATTACTTGTATATATATTCTGGAATAAATATATACTATTTAGTATAACTTCTCTATTTAGCTTTTTATTTGAACGTGATAGCAGAAGTTATACAGATAAAATAGCCATACAAATAAACACAATGATTACGAACGTATTTTCAATGAAGCATTTTTATTAGATTCTACATCTCATTTTCATATTAAATTTTTACAGCTATGCGAAAGTGCTACCTATATGGATATACTTAAACTTAATTAATATAAATACTGTAATGAATGCAGTAGTATAGATCAATACTTTTTATAGCCTTTATAAATTATTGCTCTCAAATATTTGCATTCTTACATTATTTCTTTATACTTCAATTCCTTTCTCAATCATAATAATTTTCTTAAAATGTAATTTTAAATCTCTACCGCCGATTAAAAGCAAATTTCGCAGATGGCAGACATATTACGGAGCACATGAATATTTATAACTACATTTCAAATAAATAAACATCTTTTTCCAGCCTTAATGAATCTATCATTGAATTCAATTCGATTTCGATTCGAAAATTAACTGAGTGTGTATCCAATCACATAAACAGATGAGCGTGAAAAAGCTATAAGCAAGCGTACATGCGAAAGTAGATTCAGATCTCACTGAACAGACCGCGCGAAGCATTTACAGTAGAAAGTGTCCCGCAAATCGTGTACAGCCGACCGAATGGAATTCTTTTTCGATTTGAGGCTTCGTTTTTGAGAAGTTCGAGCTTGAAATTAAACATACTCGAATAAGAGTCAAAAGTGTATAATAAATTTTTTCGTAAAGCGCTTCGTTTTCGAGGAAACGAAGTTGAAAAACTGATCAAAGTACACGTCTACTAAGCCTAATATATTCGAATTTTCCTGAAAACGAGACCTTGGAGAAAATTTTATTAAATTCCACATTTTTCGTAATCGTAGAATCAGACACTCGGCCTATCGATTATTCATTCCTATTCAGTGCAGAATTAGTGTAGAATTCAGAAGCATACTTGATAAATCATTGACATTCAATTTTTCTGCGAAACGAAGCCTCGAACGAAAAAAAATCTTGTTCTTCCTTTTCTTTCTTTTATTTTTGCACGTAGGATCATTTCCTAATTCACAGTTTGCGGGACGTCCTGCATACAGGAAGAACGAGCGACTTTCTTACGAGAAGAGATGGTCGCGGTGGCCGTTTTGTCCCGGTGTTGGCCGCAACAGTTGTATGCACAACGGCGGCACCCTACTCCAAGTGACCAGCTGCATGCACGTGTGCTAAGATGAGCCTCGCCGCAGGCTCCGACGAAGAAGGGGTCTAACACGTTTCTGAGGACACGCGCGTGTCCTCAGCGCGTGTACCACGTCGCAAACTAGAAGTCTGCCGGTAAGTTTGCGTGGACGTTGAATCGCTCGAGGGCATCGTCGTATGCAAATTCCCCTTGTTGTCGGGCAATCGAGCACGCGTTTCCGTAAAATGTGTCGTTGTACGTGAAAATCCTCGAGCCGATGGCACGACTCGTGTCGGATACTATCGAGAATCATCGTTAGATCTACGCGATTTTATTTGGTAAAAATAACTTCGAGAACTACGAAACGGAATCCAAGTTACATGATTCTTGATGATACGCAACTATTATGTATTTAAATTTATGAAAATTCACAATCTAATCGCTACGGTACTCTCTTCTCTTTTCTTCTCGTTTCTTCGTCTCATCTTTTTTTTTTTTTT